TGATCCACACCCCCCTCCCATTTTCGCGGCCAGTTTGGTAATACCTCCAGTGCAAATTGCTCCGGCCTGGTAACGCGAAAAGCTGGGTCTCTCCCACCGAGGCACCGTCTTTCCTCCACAGGGCCGAGCGCCCCCTGCAGCCAGAGACCGAAAAGAAACGGCATCCTAAGCCGTAGCAACGGTTTCTGTGTACAGCGGCGCCGGGACCCGGGAGCCCCACAGCCCCGCCGCAACGGTCTCTGATCTCTCCCCAGCCCCCGGGCTTGGGTCACCAGGGCTGAGTGCGCCGGTAGACCCGGGAACTCCAGCGTTGCCACCGCGCCCCGACACCCGGCACCGTCCCCCGCGGCCTGGAAAGCCCCGTGTGTCCCCAGGCCTGGAAGAACGTCCACCCCACGGCTCCCTCTCCCTCACGGCCCACCGCCCCTGCGCCTCCCCGCCACGGCCCCTCGCCCCCGCTCCGGGGGAGAAGGACTGACATGCGGCACGTCCTCTGTTCCCGGCCCGCAGGTACACACAGGCACTCGCCTGCTTCTCAGCGCCCCGCCTCGGGGAGGTCGCGGCCGCTGCACCAGCTCCGGCTGCGCCGCAGGTGCTGAGGGAGGGGCGGGTCGCCCGGCCCCGAGCCGGAGGCGACACGGCCTGTGGGTCGCGGCCGGGGCGGGGATTAGGCCTCTGCCACGCCCCGACCCGCTGTCCCGCAGATCTGCCCACTGGCCCGGGGTTCACCCTTCGCCGCCTTCATTGGCAGAGGACCGTTTGAGCAGAAGAGTTGGTGTGAGAGGTCGCCTTCCTCTCGTTTGAGTTTCAATTTGTTGTAGAGAGTTAAAACGCTGGCATCGGCCAGGCACAGGGGCTCCCGCCTGTAATCCCAGCACTTTGGGAAACCGAAGCGGGAGGATGGCTTGAGGCCAGGAGTTCGAGACCAACCTGGGCAAGAAAGTGAGCGCCTGCCTCTACAAAAAAAATTAAATAAAATTTTTATTTTTTATTTATGTATTTGGGTTTTTTTGGAAGCAGAGTCTTGCTCTGTCGCCCAGGCTGGAGTGCAGTGGCATGATCTTGGCTCACTGCAACCTCGGCCTCCCAGGTTTAAGTGATCCTCGTGCCTCAGCCTCCCGAGTAGCTGGGATTACAGGCGCCCACCACCACACCTGGCTTTTTTTGTATATTTAGTAGAGATGGATTTCACCATGTTGGGCAGGCTGGTCTTGAAATCCTGACCTCAAGTGATCTGCCCTCCTCAGCTTGCCGAAGTTCTGGGATTACAGGTGTGAGCCACCATACACACCTGGCCCATAAATAAAATATTTTTAAAAACGCTGTTACTGTTCTGTTATCCTGGACTGCTGTATTCCCTGCTAAGTAAATGAATTTCTTATTTAACTATAAAAAGTAATTAAACTTTCAGAGTTGTTGAGAAATGCTGAGTGTATGGTAAAATATAGTCTGCTAATAACGATGGCAAGGAGAATCTAGCCACCCCCCACCCCCAGTGGAAAACTACTTGGGGCATTCTAGAGTGGCAAGACAGTATATGTAAACCATACACCGGTTAAAACAATTCTTTAAGCACGGGACATGTAACCCGGCCCCCGTGGCTCCCTCGTGGAGAATACTTTCTAATTGGTCTGTGATCAGTGGTAAGCAGGCACCAGCTGCCTACCTAGTTTATATTGGTTCTATGAGGAAACACAGAACACCTGTTTGTTAATAATAATCACCTGTTTAGAGAGAATAATGAGTTAGCGTCTGCTCGAGGCCTTCAGCCTGGAATGCTGTCAGCCCTCTGAGGCTCTCAGCTCAGAAGACTGTTGGTTCCCCCAGATAATCCCACTTTGCTGTTCTATCTGGGTGTCTGCTTCTGAATTCCTTCAGCACTACCTGGGTGGGGGTCTCTACGGCCTAGCTGGTCTCAGTACAGAGTGCATTGCAAACAAGATTCACTTATCTCTTCCTGTTTAAAAAAAGAGTAAATCAAAGACAAGATTCCCTCTTCCTTTTCAAGCATTCCACATTTTCTGAGTGATGGTTATGAGTCAGGCACCATATGCAGCACAGGGATGAAAAGGTGAATAAGACAAAATATTAATACAGTTCAGATGAATAAAACAATAGCGGTTACTTGTCCGGAAATTTCAGTTTTATAATTTCAAACTAATTAAAATAGATGAACATCAAAGTTTATTTACAGTGCCTGACAGTTCTGTAAATGTATTTCTTTCCCTTTTGCACTTTAATTACAGACCTGCAGTCTGCTACCAAGCACTATTAGTGGCAAAAATTCTAATGCTCAGCAGCACACAGTGGCTCATGTCTGTAATCCCCGCACTTTGGGAGGCCAAGACGGGCAGATTGCTTGAGCCCAGGATTTCAGACCAGCCTGGGCAATATAGTGACAGGTTGGCTCTATAAAATAAAAAATTTAAAAAATGATCACTTTAGTGAGCTTCACAGAGGTGTAAGACGATATCATCCAAGAAACAAAGAGATAAAATGAGGCCTAGGTAAAGTTACTTAGCTAGATAACAAGGGGTGGTGTGTGTATTTGGACCCAAATCCTTGCACCAAAGCCCATATTGTTTACTGATCTCTTAATTACTAACCAATCCATCAGTAAGTCGCATTGGCTCAATCTCAAAATGTAACTCACAGCCAGATACTTATCACCTCCACAACTACCTGGCCCAGCCACCATTACCTCTAATTATTACAGACGGTCTCGTTTCCTTGCTGCCACCTGTCCTATGTAGTCTATTCTCATACAACAGCCTAGTAATTCTTCATGCCACTCTCCTGCTTACTGTCCCAATGGCTTCCCATCACAGCACCCTAAGTGAGATGACCTCTTCTGTCCACCTCTACAACCTCATCTTCTCCCACTATCCCTCCTGTCATGAAGTTTGAGTCACATGGGCTTGATTCTGAAGTGGGAACAGGATTAAGCTCCCTTTTCACCCCAGAGCTTTTACATGGAGTGTTTTCCCTATTCCAGTGTTGTTCTTTCTCATCCTTCTGTCCTCTCTGCTCAAATAACCACTCCACCTAAACTTCTAACACAGAACTCATTCTAAGGAAAGATGAGAACATGGGTGTATTATGTATGATGAGGCAACTTGTCACCCAGTCTGGAGTGCAGTGGTGCAATCTTGGGTCACTGCAACCTCCACTTCCTGGGTTTGAGCAATTCTCATGCCTCAGGCTCCCAAGTAGCTGGGATTATAGGTACACACCACCATACCCAACTCATTTTTTGTATTTTTGGTAGAGACGGAGTTTTGCCATGTTGGCCAGGCTGGTCTTGAACTCCTGAGCTCAAGCGATCCTCCCGCCTTGGCCTCCCAAAGTGCTGGGATTACAGGTGTGAACCACCGTGCTCAGCTTTCTTTCATTTTTTAATTTTTCATAAGCCCAATCTCTTACGATAGCTATCTTAAAGCACTGTTACCTCCATATGCCCTATGATTACTTGTAATCATAATTCCTCCACTTTGATAATGAAACTGAAGTTAAAAGAAATAAAGTGAATTGGCCAGTCATTGAGTGGCAAGACTGGATTTGAAATCTCCATTTAGCGCTTTTCAGTGTCCACAGTCAGTAAGCCATTAATAGAGTGCCAAGTTATGTGCTAACATCGAGCTCAAGGTTACTAATTTTCTTATTTTAGAGCACTATTCAAAAGAATATTTTTTAAGGCAATTTTATGTCAGTTTTTTTTCTTGAAAGTCTAGGTAGGCAAGAGGTAAAATTACTTCTAGTTTCTAAATGAAGGGAGCACAAAAAGATAAGTGGCTGAGAGCAGACTGAGTTCCAGCTGTAATACTTTTTGCATGAAGTTCTTCTGCCCAGTTGGCCAGGTAACAATATTCAATTAAACTACTGCTACGCAAAGGATTTAGAAGAATTAAGATAAGTGTAACTCTATTATCTCGTAAGTTGGGGTTTATCTGTTTAGGAATCTGTCATAAAGAGATACCATGTATTGGTATTGCCATATCTAAAAAGTTCAAGAAGGAATATACCAGAATTATAAAATTAAGAAAGCTCCATTTTATTGCCAGCCTGGGCAATGTAGTGAGACCTCAGTTCTACTGAAAATCAAAGAATCAGCCAGCGCGATGGTGTGTGCTTGCAGTCCCAGCTATTCAGGTGACAGGATTGTGAGTCTGGGAGATGGAGGCTGTAGTAAGCTATGATCATGCCACTGCACTGCACAACTCCCTCCTCCTACAACAGAGACCCTGTCTTAAAAAAATAATAATCTCAGCATGGCAGTATTTCATATAGCATGTAATAAATTTATAGAACATAGGAAGATGGTAGTAAAAATACAGGTATTTTTTTACAAAATCATTGACAATATTTTGAATGTCAAAGCCCAACATAGGTATTAATAAAGTTGGAATATATCAAATCTTTAAATTGCATGTCAGGATGGTGCACATGACATTCCAGAACCATGGAACCCCTGAACAGAGTATCGTATAGTGACCATTAATTCAACATCCCTAAGATCAAGGCTAAAGATTTAAACATTAATCCAGTAATTCAGTGTAAACCAATGCTCCCCTTCCCAATCCTTGACTCAGAGTGTCGCTCAGTGCATCAGGCTGGAGTACAGTGGCACGATTATGGCTCACTGCAGCCTCAAATTCTGGGGCTCAAGTGATCCTCCCACTTTAGCCTCCTGAGTCACTGCCTGTTCTTTTTGCTTCCTAAAAGCAGAACTGCTGACTTTAATGAGTGATTACACCTGTGAAACTGCACTTGGCTTACTGAATAGCCTGCTTCTTTGCTTGGGGTTGATTTTGCCTTACAGAAGGCAACAACTAAAGTTTCCCTTCATTATTCTGAGATTTAAAAGAGTCAAGCATTATACGAAAATACAGAAAGGCCTATACCAAATAATAAATGAAAAACTGAACTCAAGATGATGTATGCATATTGACATCAAGCACAATGGTATACTTCATATCAAATGACATGTTGACACAGAACAGTGGTTTCCAATAAATTTATTTAATCACAACTTCAGAGGGTTCTAGAAACTTGCATTTTTAACAAGCACCACAGATGATTCTAGGTTTTAACTAAAAGTGTGGTTTGGGTAAGCAACTTTACCCTTACTTGTGTGTCAGATTACATATACAGTAAAACAAAAAGTCATGTAATGGAACAAAAAATTGCTTTATACAAAATATTAAATACAATATGGTCTTAAAAATCAAATCATATGTATATAGTTGTATTCCTAAGTACAGCAGTGCCTCATTCATTCCAAGTTTCCTTTCTGTGGTTTCAGTTATCTGTAGTCAACCACATTCGAAAATAGGTGAGTACTGTACACTGTATAAGAAGATATTTTGAGAGCCAGACCAATCACATTCATATAACTTTATTACAGTATGTTATCATTGTTCCATTTTATTAATCTCTTGCTGTGCTTAATTTATACATTACACTTTATCATCGGTATGTATATATAGAAAAAAGGTGTATAAAAGTTTGGTACTATCTGAGGTTTCAGTCCACTGGGGGGCCTTGGGATGCATCCCCTGAAGGGGAAACTACTGTATGCAAAATCAAAAGCTATACAACAATTAGAAACTTTGAGAGAGCAAATCTAAGTGTAAGTGAAGACATTACTCTGAATTCCCAGGTTTCATCGAGCATCAAAAACGACCACTGGATTAATCTGAGTTAAGGACAAAAAAGTTATTAAACATTATTAAGATTGAAGATTTCAAAGTCATTTTGTCTTTGCAGTAAGCTGGTTATTTAACTTAGAATGCAAGAAATAGAATTCACTATTTACTATGACAACTTGAGATAAACTAAAAACACTTTCAATTTTTATCTGCACCTTTTCCATGATAAAACGTATCAAAAAACATTAACACAGGTCAGGTGTGGTGGCTCATGCCAGTAATCCCAGCAGGCAGATCTGTATTACAGCTCATGCCTGTAACACAGTTTACACAGTATTTGTATTTCTCCTTGTGAAATTTAGCTTGTCCATAAACTCAAGCTCAAGAATGAGTGCTTATATAAATACAGTCATGCATCCATGATGTTTCAGTCAAAGATGGATCACATATAAAGAGGGGTTGAATAAGACTATACTATATTTTTGCTGTACCTTTTCTATGTTCAGATATAAGAAAACCATTGTATTACAATTGTCGATAGCATTCAATACAATAACAAGCTATAAAGGTTTATAGCCTAGTAGCAATAAGCTAGGCCATATAACCTATATCCTGTATATGTATGCCAGGATATATAGTCTAGGTTTCTGCAGGAATGATGAAATTGCCTAAGGACACAATTTTCAGAATGGATCCCTATCCTCAAGCTTAACTGCACAGAATCCCTAAAAAGTAAATTAATGAAAACTAAAATCAACTAGTATTATTTATTTAGAGCCTATGCATTGGTCCATGAAAATGCTAATCATGTTTGTTTGTACTGTAATCCAGGAAGTTATCATTTTAACCAGAAATTAATCTTTATCAACCCCAGCATTATTCATTTCCTCCTACCTTGTATTTAGAAAGCATAGTTAAAAGGATACATCTTTTAGTCCTTTTCTTGTACATTATTCTGTATCCACATTCTCTGCATCTGATTGGATCCCTAGATTTTATTTCATTTTCTGTGTGACATTCTAGAATTTTTTTTTTTTAAAAAAAAGCACATTTAGTCAATTCCTAAAAGGAAACTTACAAATTAACTATATTTTTCCCCTAAGGCAATCCAAAACACGAAAATATACTCAATCTCAAGAGTCTGTTGCTATTATGAAATATATTAAGTAGGAAAGAAAAGCGTTGTAGGCAATGCACATTTCCAGGAGAGAATGAAATCTCAACTTTTTTTTTTTTTTTTTCCTGTTAATAAACTGCAGACCCAAGACGAACCCAGGTCTACCGACCTCAACGAGACTTTTTTTTTTTTTTTTTATGGTTGCTAAAGTGTTCTACTTTATAACGTTGAAGATCAGTAACTCATTCAAGCAAAGAACAAATTAAACAATTTCAAAAAAACTTAAATATTCTTACTTTATATAAGTGCTACTCTTACCTCCACAGATATATATCATTGGTTGCTGCTTTGGAGGCTGAACGTCCTTCTGAGTGTCCATTGTTAGTCCCTGAAATCACAGACTCAAATACTGAATATATCAAAAGGGCTTCTCACAAGTCCAACCGGGACCATTTTTCTCAAGAAATGCTAAAAAGATCCCAATTCCTAATCGTTCTTTCCCCCAAATCCTGTGGGTTAGGTCTCAAGGACAAAACGCATACACACAAGTATTGAGCGTTTACCCCAAACTGGACACAATTATAACTACTTCATACATGTTATGCCATTATAATCCTCATAACAATCCTAGGAGACATCACTCTTATTTTACAGATGAAGCAACCTAGATTTAGACATATTAACTTCCGCAGGATCACTCAGCTACTAAAAGGGAAAGGAATAGATTTGACTGTAAAGCTCGCATCTTTGTTTAACAAAAGCTGTTTTCCCAAACTCTACCCGAAGTTAGCCAAAAACATTATAGCCCTCAAATGGGGAACAGGCTAACGGAAAAGAACAATGAAATAACTACCAGCGAAACATCTAAACTGAAAAAATATATACGGAAAAGAGTGACAGCAAGGACTGTTTACCCAGCCTCTCACTACTGTACCCCAATACCGAACCTTTTTACCCCAAATCTCTTTCCAGTTTGGGCCCAAATATCCACCACAAACCTCAACCAACCGGCCAACTTGCTACCTACGCAACACGGGAAAACTTCTCCGCGTTTCCAAATACAATCCGGCTCGTCTCGGTGTCGATACCAACTTCCGGCGCTGGTATGTGACGCACAGTGGAGTCGCTCTCCGCCTTTTCCGTTCTGGGCGTGGCCAGAGAGCCCGGATTGCGCAAAGTGGGTAAAGCAGGGCTTTCCGTCTGTTAGACTCTACGAGTATAAGTGCCTGTTCGGCCCCCACCTATTTTAATTTTTCAGGAGAGCAGTGCATTTTAAAAGTTATGCAAGTCCAAGGCGTCGTGTGTTTTTGACTAGTAGTGGTACAAAGTAACACTTTTCCAGAAGGGTAGAGGGTTAGGGAAAAAACCGAGATGACAGCGTCCGAGAAGTACTAGGCTAGCTGTGACTTCGACGAACATAGAAGAATCGACTACACCAATGGTTTTCACGTAGAAAAACGCTTTCCAGATTGTTTTTAAAAACTGTCTGATGCTTGTGCTGGGGCAGTGGGGCAGCTGCCTCCTATCCTTCTCATGATTTGTTTTTGCTTTCTGGCTCTTTCTCTCATAAGGCTACTGTCTCATGCGTCTCCCAATCCTTTTACTTGTTTTAAAGCATAGGCTAGCGTGACGGTAGCTACATCGACAACTCCCACTTTAAGAGATTTTGGTAGCTTTTGCTGTCTATTCAACCTCCCTCTGTCCTGTGTATTCCACCATAGAAGAACAAAATGCTCTGCTTGGTGGAGGTGCATTCTTTCAAAGATCAAAATTTCAATAGAATGGATCAGTTAGCTTCAGAACCTTTAAATTTGTTTCCTTTTTTCCGCAGCAGATATTTTACTTAGTAGGGTGAAAAAAAAATGAAGCTACTTAAAAATTTCAAAAACAACTTTTGTTAATAACTATGTTTAAGAAAGAAGCAGGCGTTCTTTTTCCCAATGTGCGCTAGGTCTTTGATATTTTATTAAGCAAACGATCAGAATGGATCAACATATGTAGAATACAAATGGGTCCTGGGACCCTACAGAAGGGCAAGGTAATGACAAGCCATAGCAGGGAGATCAAGAATTTCAACAAGAATTCATGTTGGTGTTAGTTCCCAATCCAACATGCTCTTTCCTGTCAACAGAGACTGGTAGTTTTAGGATCACTACGGAGTATGGTCAGTGTAAGCTACCTTATTATCAATGATAGCATTAACTAACTTTTTCTGTCTGACATGACAGACATTACTGCATTGCTCTGTTCAAATGGGGATAGTTGTCTTGCCATCCTGGACAACGGTGCTTTTAACTCTTTATTAAGAAGGTTATGGAAATGGAAGTTGCTATTTTTTCCCTGAATCTCTGTCTTTCCTTTTTCCTTGGTTATATTCACTTAAATATATTCAGATAGCTTAAATATCATGGTGATTTGGGAAACCTCCCATTATGTTTTATGGGATGGTCCCAAAAGAAGCATTAGGTCTTGTGGCAGGTATGTTTTAGAATTCTGAAGTCAATAATGGGATGACACCCAATGCAAGAAAGGAAAGCAAAGGGTGGGCACAGTGGCTTACGCCTGTAATCCTAGCATTTTGGGAGGCTGAGGCAGGCAGATCACTTGAGTTCAGGAGTTTGAGACCAGCCTGGCCAACATGGTGAAACACTGTCTCTACTAAAAATACAAAAAATTAGCCAGGCGTGGTGGCATGCACCTATAATCTCAGCTACTCAGAACACTGAGGTGCAAGAATCGCTTGAACCAAGGAGGTGGAGGTTGCAGTGAGCTGAGATTGCCCCACTGCACTCTAGCTGGGTGACAAGTGAGACTCCATCTCAAAAAAAAAAAAAGGAAGCAAAAAGGCAAAAGACTGTGATGAGTAAAGAATATGAAAGTACAGCTCAGCAGCTTAAATCTGGAGTGTGTAAGTAAAGCTCAGGCAAACTATACGTAACTTGGTGTCGTTTTGCCCATTTTTAGGTGGGGATAGGTGACAATGATTCTTCCTTGAACAATATAAAGGAGATCTGATATGGTCATTTACTCCTCAGTCATAACAAAATATCTCAAGAAAAATTAACTCGAGGAAAAAGAAAAGGGTCATGTTTAAATGGTTTTGTGGTTATGTGGATCTTATAACCATAGGCAAAATTCCCTGCCCTGTCATTGGGGTGGAGATGGGGAGCAGACATTAAACAAAACAAGTAGATAATATGGGATTTTAGAAGGTAATAAATTCAGAGAAAATTCAGCAGAATTCTGCAAGAGGATTGCAAATGTGGGGCAGGAAAAGGCAAAATGGCTATAATAGAGATTTGTTTGAAGAGGGTACTATGCACTCTACCAGGGAGTGTGGTGTAGGCTTCAGAAAGGCGCTGTCTTGAAGAATGTGTAATTCATTAATTCTTTACAGTCCGACAGGTACCTCAAACGTAACAGCCTCACATTAAATGTGTCTTATTATCTCCCAAGCCTATACTCTTCGCTTCCTCACCCCTTGTCCCATGCAGTTGATTCTGCCAACTGAATATGTCATGTCTTGATTCTGCTCCACCCCACTGCCTTCTGGAGAAACGCAGTAGCTCCCTACTGGTCTCCTGGCAACCACCCTTGCCTCTTTTCATTCTGTCTTCCATTCTGCCACCAGAGTGGACTTTCTAAAGTACTCTTCGGACTGTTAACGTGCATCCAGAACTCTCCAAGACTTAGCTTCTTAACTTCTCAAGAATTTTCTCTAATCCATTCCTCCAACAACTCTTAGTTTCTGCCTATAACAAATTATCTGCAGTTTCTCTATGTGCCCAACTGCTCTTACACATTTTGTTTTGAGTTTCAAATTTTCCTGCCTTTGCACATTTTAAGTTCGGAATTTCCTGTTGTCCGCCTTTTAAATTGCCACTTGTACATCAAAATCTGTCTCATGCCATGGCCTTTAGGAAGGTAGCACCACACTCTCTTCGGCAGTAGGGTTAAGCTGGTTCCTCTTTCCTCTGTGTTGCTACTGTTCCTCTGTTACAGCACTTGCTCCGTGCCAATGAGCTCCTTAACAGCAGTAACTGTGCCTTTGTCAGCTTTGTATTCCCAGTTCCTAGCCCAGTAATTGGCACCTAGTTGGAACTTAATAATCGTTAGTGGCCAGGCACAGTAGCTCATGCCTGTAATCCCAGCACTTTGGGAGGCCGAGGCGTGTGGATCACTTGAGATCAGAATTTGAGACCAGCCTGGCCAACATGGCAAAACTCCGTCTCTACCAAAAATACAAAAATTAGCTAGACGTGGGTGGGTGCCTGTAATCCTAGCTACTCAGGAGGCTGAGACAGGAGGATCATTTGAACCTGGGAGGTGGAGGCTGCAGTGAGCTGAGATCATGCCACTGCACTCCAGCCTAGGTGACAGAGTGAGACTCCATCTCAAAATAGTAAGAATAATTGTTAATGAGTTTGATTTTGGATGACTTAGGGACATCCAGATGGAGAAATGTCCAGTCAGAGAAGAGTGGTGGTAGTGCCTGTTACTGGTTTAAAAGCAATGGTTGAAATTCTAAATGTGAATTAAGCATGGGATGATAAACTAATAAAAATGCTGAGGTAGGATGTCTCATTTCCGGAGTAGGCCAATGAAAAGAAGCCAGAAAAAGGAGACTAGGAAGAAGCTGCCAAGAGCAGCAGACATGTCCCTGGCATATAGTAGGTGTGCAGTAAATATTTATTGAATGAAAAAATTAGGGTTTAAAAAATGTATTTGGCATTGAGGGTACTTGGAAGTTCACGATGCCCCAAAAGGGATGTTAGTAAACAATGAACACATTTCACTCTTGTTTTTATTAATAGATTTTAAAATAATCTTTTTTTTTTGAGGCGGGGGTCTCACTATGTTGTCCAGGCTGGTCTTGAATTCCTTGGCTCAAGTGATCCTCCCTCCTCTGACTCCCAAAGTGCTAGCATTACAGACGTGAGCTGCCACACCTGGCTCAGCTTTCTTATTACAAAATCTATATATATTCCTTGTAGAAACACGAGAAGAAAACACAGATTGAAAGACACAACTAAAAAGCAAGCATACTCCTGTACAAAGGTACTTTATCCAAGTTATTCATACCTTTCAGACCTCATCCTGTGTATATCCATATTTTCAACCTAAAAGAGTTTATAACCTGCTTTTTACATTTCACAGTTTGGAGAAACATTTCCAAGAGAACATTCTCTTACATGGTTTCTAATGGCATCCCACTGTAGGCCATGTTAGCCTTTCTAAATACTGTAATGCTTCCCAAAGTGGGAATTGGTAGGGGAGGAGCCTTTCTGACTCGCCTCGGGGCGGCTGCAGGGGTGACACAAGGGGGTGCTCCTCCCGCGTAGGCGAACCCTGAGGGCGGCCGGGCGGGGGCGCTGCGGAGCCGGAGGCAGGGGCGGTGCTGCTCGGCGCGGGGCGGGGTTGAGCGTAGCGGTTATTCCCGGCGGGCAGTTCAAACAGGAGGAGGGTTAGGCGGCGGCCCCACGCGAAGCTGGCGTGGAGGTTGCCATAGCCCGCATCCCAGGGGACGAGGCCGAGGCTCTTCCCCGGCGCCTCCAGCGGCGGCTGCCCGGCTCCTCTCCCACCTGTGCACCTCGGCGCCCCGCCCGGCTCCGCGGCCTCCAAGCGGGCGGCGCGGAGACCCCAGACTAGCACCCGCTAGCGGGTCTCCAGGCGGCCCTGGCCGCAGCCCCGGGCCCGTGTCCCCCTGAGCCTTCCAGGTGCTGAGCCTAGGGAGGCGCACGGCAGCCCTCCCTCCTCCGCTCCAGGTGACGTCCGCCCGTCCCCTGCCGCCTCGGGCTTCTGGGCCGAGCGGATCTTTGACGCCCTGGTGAGACCGTTACCCACCCGCCCGCCATAGCTCTTCCGGGGAGCCAGTGCCGGGCTGCAGCACACATTGCCTTTTCAGGGACCCGAATTTGGGGAGTTTACTCAGGTCCAAGTCCAGCTAGAGAAAACAAGGATATTAAGAGAACTATTTTCTGGAGGGCTGAAGGAAATTCAAAATGATTTAGACCTTCTCAAGTGTTAGAAATAATCCCTGCGGCATGCACCCTGTGTCCCCTTCGACTCTGAGCAATCATCGTGCTGCTGCACCTTCCAATAAATTCTTCGAACGAAAGT